TGAACCTGGAAATATGTACTCATTCTTCAAGACCCAACAGAGGCAGCCAGCTCTTTAGCTAGCCTTCCCTCCAGGCCCCACCTAACACCCCATTTTAATGTCCCAGTTCTGTGCTCCTGTTTTACCCTGGCACTACTAGTGTGTCTAAATGGCTCCAGTTCTTTAAAGCCACAGCCAGAAGTTGCATCAACCTAATATGGAGAATAATGCAGATTTTGAAAATGAGTAGTGTTATTCCTGACTATGCAAGAATCCAAATGCTTCTGCCAAGAAGTCTTATGACTAGCCCTTTATAGGCTACAAATATGCGTCATTCATTTTGTAGATTATCACACCATTCTTCACTTAAAAAGGTATTTGATTTTGTTAGCTTCAGTTTATATTCTGTGGCATTTCTTTAGAAATCATACAGAAAGCTTAATTTCCTAAGCATATCCTTTTAAAGAATTCAAATTCAACAGACGAGCACTCAGTCTGTGCCACAAGAAACAAATCATGAGAAATTAGTATACATTTGAGGTAAGTTTTCAAAATAGATATGTTTTAGCACACATGAAAATGTAAAGCCTCACCTGATATTTGATCATGAATTATCCTAATTCCTCTACACTAATTAAGTCACTTGAAAATACAGAAGATTTCAAGGGCTAGTAACATGAAGACTTTCTCTTGATGTTTGAGAAGGGGAAGAAAATAGACAACTCATGATATATTTTTATTTATATATAGGTTAGTTCTAGGTGCAAAGACTAGGATCAACCCCATTCCCAGGAAACAAATATCACAGTAACGTAACAGTTACATATTATCTTTATAAAAGTTTACAGATGGTCCAATATCTATTTTGCATGCTTTATTAAGACCAGAACAATGATTAGCATTCAACAAAAAGTGAGTTAACTGATGTTAGAATAGAGTAAGGAAAACATCAGTCTTGCTATTAATATGGTTTTTTTCCACCGATTTTCTTAAATTTATTAGGGTGACATTGATTAATAAAATTACATAGGTTTTGAGTGTACGATGCTGATATACATCATCTGTATATTGCAGTTATCAATAAGTTTACTAACCCATCACCTTTACACCATTCAAATTAAATTTAGTTTGTAAAAATAATTTTAAGTTTTAAGAGCTAGTTAAAAATGGAAGTGAAACGGATGGTTTGCAGGCAACTGATTGTAAACACCTACAAATAACATTTCAAGGGAACTAGGGTCTTCAATGTACTGTGAAGGTGATGGAAATGTCAACCTACATACCAGAGTTTTCAACAATGCTGTGCCATAAGATCATGAGAAGTTACAGTTTAATAATATAGTAGACTTGAAGTATGAAATCTTGGGCATTCTATTCCAAAAATGTTACACAAGATATTTCACTTCCAAGTATGATGAAGAAAGGTAAACACTCATATAGTAACAGCACGAAATTCATAAAGGATTTGATTGAACTTAAAGATATTGCTTTTAAAATGTTCTCTTGCATTACTTAAAGAGGCACTGCTCAATAAAATTATCAAACTCTTATAAAATATTGATCATGCCAACATAGTATTTCAAGATGTCTGAGTAACTTATAGAGTTATACAGAATCAGGTAACAAAACTCCAGTGCCTATTCCCAAATTATGCTGAATAATAGAATTTTGCTAATTCCAATAGTCATTACATATAACTAGGGTGATTATCGATCAAGTTTGAAATCATTTTTTCCCTAAAGAATCATCAATTTTAGCTTTAAGAATTCTGAAGGAGAAAAGATAGTTCAGACACTAGTCATTATTTCAACACTTTCATTCCACTTTCCCACAAAAAACAAAAACAAAAACAAAAAAACAGAACAACACAAACTATTATCACTCTTTACAATTCCATTAAGAGAAATAAAAAGTAGCCTCTAAAATGGCTGGTGATATTCAAGCAATCTACAAATACTGGTCTTTAACTTAAGATGTAGAAGAGTTCAGTGTTAAGAGGATGGGCTGTAGAGTCATGTTGCTTTGATTCAAATCCTGCCTCTCCAATCTGCCATGTGACTTTAAGCAAGTTACATACCCTCTGTTTTTTTTCCCTTACCTGCAAATTGAGGAGCAATCCTTACCTCACTGGATTGTTATCAGAATTTAATTATAACAGTGCCTGGCATTTATTAAGACATTTTTAAATTGGTTTCTATAGCTATTCTATGAGGAATCAATTTAAAAATCAAGCCTTTTTTAAGAATCAGGGAAGGGATAAAAATTCACATAACTATTGTCCATTAAGAATCTAAATAGGGATCACCTGATTTGTCAAGGGTTGGTTTAATCCAAATTTCCTACAACTTCTGAGCTTCGATTATATGTCAGACACTGTGCTGGCTGGGTCAAGGGAGCCAGAAAACGCTCTAATATTCAAAGAAAAGGCAATTAGGATTCTAATTCCTGTTTCATTACTGATTAGCTGTATGACCTTAATTGGTCATACAAGGTGATAAAGCATTCTATAAAATGAAGAGGGGTAAGGCAGAAGAGATAGAGAGGAACTCAATTTCTAGTTTAGTCATTAAAATCCTGTGAATTCTGAAAGGACAATTTCAGATGATTCCCAAGATTATCTTCCTATAAAAGAACAACGGGACAAAAAAGAATTAAAGTAGGCTTGACCAGGTTAAATAATATTAGTATTTCTTGTGAGTTCCATAAAGTCAAAAATGGCATCTTATTTATCTGTGTAACCCAGTCTGCTGGCACATAGTACCTATTCAAAATGCTGCTCTGATAAACTATGCATACTTATTTGTGGATTAACTACATTTTTTTGTTAGAGCTGTCCTTATAGAAAGAGAAGTTATTTAATTCTCATATATATTTCTTCCCTACCATTGTGCTATAAACTTTACCTTTCTCCCATTTAATTCTCACACTAACCCAATGAGGTAGGTACTATCAGTATCTCCTGTTTATGTATCAGGAAACTGAGGTAAGAAAGGTTAAATCGGTTAACAGAAGGCCAGGTTACAAGACTCCTAGCTAGACCTTGTTTCTTACCTAGGTCAATATTGCTTGAAAAATCTGTGCTCTTAACCACCCTCATTTCACTTCCCATGAAGAGCTGCCAAATAAGTGTTGAGAAGGAAAAAGAGACATAAAGACATATCAGCATTTTGCTCCGTGTAATGTTAATGATAAAAATATTTGTTCGGGTGATGTGGTCGACTGAGACGCAGGCAAAGGCTGTTTTTCCTCTTCCAGTAATGTAACCTCTGGAGGGAAGAAATAAATCTCAGATACACGTCCGTGGGGTAGTCCCCAAGACAAACAAGGGGGAACAGCAGAGACGGAGAAAGGGGAAGGCAGCCAGGATCACAAATAACAGGCTTGGGCGAGCTATTCTGCAAATTCTTCGGAATCAGCTGGAAATTAACACGGTGCATATAGAAGTCCGAAGACAAGGTTGTCTTTCTTCAGCTTTAGCTCAGGCATCAAGTAGCTGGGAACCTTGATCATTTACTTATCCAGACCTGACTCTCCTCATCTGTAAAACGGAGGTAATGATATTTGACACCTGCCTCCCTTCCTCGCTAAGTGTCGCTGGGGGAAGGAAGAGTCGAAATGAAATAACACGTACGAAAACAGCTAGAAAATAGCCCGTCCCAGCCAACTCTCCGAAGGATGAGCAAGCAGGAAAAGAAAGGGCGACAGATCAACGGTACTTTACCCACTCCAAAACACACTCATTGAAGAGGAGAGAAAGGCACTCTGCGACAGCAATACTCACTGCCGGACAAAAGTCAGAGCGAAGCGTGTCATCTTCCTGGTACTCAGAGGAACGAGAAGCAACAGCCACAGCTCGACGAGCGTCACCTGCACTGTGCTCCGCGGCTCCTCTGCATTGCGGGATCATCTCGTCCATACCACTTCCTCCAACCCCATCCGGCCAGCGGGCTCGGCTGCCATAGGCCAAAGCGGCCGCCTACATCATCTCCGAAAGGCCAATCAGGCCCGCAGGTCGGAGGAAACCCGCTACAGCCGAGAACCCGCTCACGGTCATGGCGCTTGCGTCCCTGTGCGCGGGCCTGTGATTGGCGCGCGGCAGGTGCGTGTGGAGTCCGCTCTGTAGTAGCCGGAGGAAGCTATTCTTGTCCCGGCGTTCCTCTTATCTTTGAGGCTCAGCGCGGATAAGGGACCCCGACGCTCGGATTTATGATTAATCTGTTGTAAGGTTGGAATGCAGCCAGTAGTCTTACTTCATGGGTGTACAGTGCCTGATGAATCGAGTTATATGAGGTTTAGCTGTTCATGCCTAACACGGAGGATGTAAGGTCAGCAAGGTCTGCAGACTTAAACCACCCAGTTGCAGTCCCCAAATCCGCATTGACAGGCATGCTCCTAGAGCAAACTGCAGACTCTTTTGAGCCTGCTTCTAAACTAGGCCTTATACTTGGCCTGCTGAGCCCGGTCTTCCCAAAGAATCCTGCGAAGCCAGCTTATTGAGAATACCCTCACCCTCAGTATCTAATGAAGCTCCTTTCCCACTGACCCTCGTTATCTAACCAGTTCCTCTTTAGTAAATTTACCCCATCGCAGGTCTTGACCTCTAACTGCAGTGGTCTTGAGTAGAGTCCTCCCCACTTCCGCTGTTTTTTAAAAAGTAACTAGTGAATAAGTTCTCTTTAACAGCCTTCAGGGACTTGAGAGAGTTACTTAGCCTCTCAAACTCTGAATAATAAGTAAAATGAGATAACTAGCCATGACACAGGTAAAGCTTAATAAGGTTAACTTTATATATATGGTAAAGCTTAACGATGTGGTCTTTACATTGTCTTCCATGCATTTTTAACCTAAATTCTCTTATTTAATAATGCATTTGTTTCCTTGAATCCTCAATTATGTAGTAGAAGATGGGTTTAAAGAACTTAAGTGAAACATGGGCCATTTGGATTGATAGGCACACATTTCAAAAGTTTATAATCCCATTTGGCCCTCAGAACAACTCTGAGGCAGACAGGGTATGCTATATTATCTTCACTTTAAGAGATGAGAATTCTGGCCAAGGGAAACAAAGCAATTTGTCTAAGCTCACAGCTGTTCAGTGATGACACGGGACTAATTCAGAGATTCTCAAAGCTACCTGCACATTGGAATCATCTAGGATTTTTTGAATTCCAGCCTACACCGCAGAAAAATGAAATCTGGACCTCTGTGGGAGGGACCCAGGCATCAGCAACTTTTTAAAACCTCCAGCTGTTTCCAATGTGCAGCCAATTTTAAGAGCTAGAAGTTTAAAGCAGTGCTTCTCAAATTTTAAAGGTGTACTCAGATCACCTGGAGATATTGTTGAACTGTTGATTCTGATTTAGTAGGTTTGGAATGAGGGCCAAATTCAGTATCTCTAACAAGCTCCTAGGGAAAAGGGAGCATTTTCAGGATTAGGGTAGAGGAGTCATTCAGAGGGCTCCAGTGGAACCCTGATTACCACGGGGGTACACTGCTTGTACATAGTAAATGCTCCATATATATGTTCTGAATGATCGAATGAATAAACTAGTCCGACAGATTTTCCTGGAAATTTGACCTAGAAAAATGAAAATAAGGTAGTTAGCTGTAAGGACTAAAGCAGAAAGAAATCCTAGAGGAAAACCACAACATAGAGCTATGAGGGAGCATGTAGACTGAAGCAATGAAGAAACAGAAACCACAATATAAGCTTGAGAACAGATTTGTAGGTAAGGACCAGCAAAGGTAATGGAAGAACGTAATAGACACACAGACAGAAGCAGATCCAAGTGAGTAATGCAGAGACAACCTGGTCCCTAGTCCCTCAAGATGCCATTGTACCAGATACCTTGTAGGTTCTAGTTTTTACAATAAAACTTTCTATTTAAGGGGCCTGAGTGAATTTCTAAAGCCTAATTAAAAACAGCCTTCCACTTTGTCTTATTTATGTCTTACGTCTGTAAGTTATGAGTTATTTCAGTTTTACAGATGAAGAAATTAAGATATGTAGAGGTTAACTAATTTCCCATCTCTTAAGATCTCAGAACTGAGTTTGACCCCAGGTAAGTATGCTCCAAGTAGTATCAGAACTACAACAATGAGAGTAAATACTGGCTCCGTTTCATCATTTTCCTGGCTCCTATCAAAATGTTTGAAACAAAGTAGGGACTCAATTAAAATTTGTTAAATGAATGAATGAACAATTTCTCTTATAATCAGTTTGTCGAATGAATCATACACCTAAAAGTAGCTGATAAAATGGGAGATGGTTGCTTTAGGAAAAATTTAGGAAATTATAAAATATCAATATTCATTTAAAAAATTATCCAAGAAATATGTATAAAAACAATGTCTTCATAAACTTTAAAAATCTGGAGAAAGTTAAAAATCTTTAAATGAAGGTTGTGGATCTTTTAAAGAGTGAACATTATCCTGCATTTTTCACAATGGTTCAGGGATTGTCATTCAATTTATAAAATGAACAGGGAGTTGGTTTAAACTTTGTTTAGATAGCAGCTAGAAGTAACCACTGATATACCTTTGTTGACAAGCTATCAAATCACATCTGCCCTTTTTGTAAAATGAAAAACAGTGCTTTGTTGTGGTATTTCATATGATGAAAATCTGAATTATTCAGGATAGGCCAAGTTACTCTGAGATAACAAGTTAACCCTGAAATTTCTGCGACTTAACCATTAAATTTTGTTTCTCATGCTACATGTCTGACATGGATCAAAAAGAAGCTTCATATAGTCATTCAGGACTAAGGTTGACAGACACATTGACATCAACACATGGATTCATAAATTACTGGGGCAGATGATGAGAATGACTGAGTGTCTTGAACGAGTTCTTAGATGCGTTCTCTATTCATTGTTCAGAGCTACTTACATGGCCCTTTCTAACTGCAAAGGTGATGGGAAATGTGGGGAAATGCATGAATGTTTGGTGAGTAGACGACGCCATAAGCACTGTGCGTGTTGGAGTATCCCAAGATTCTGCCCTTGGCCCACTTCTCTCCTCCATCTCCATAAAGCAACCATCTCCCATTTTATCAGTTACTTTTAGATGTATGATTCATTCGACATTATGCAATTATGCAATCTCCGAGGTGATCTTATCCACTGTATAGATCTTATTTATATCTCCCGCCTATAATTTTCCCTGATCACTTCATTTATTTATTCAGTTACCTACTCAGTTACCTACTTCAGTTACTTATTCGGTTACCTACTCTAGTGAGCATCTCAATGTAACTTTGTCCACACACACACTTTGATTTTTACCTCCAAAGACTTCTCACTCCTCTTCAAGTCTTTCTTATCTCAGTAAATGGTGAAATAATCTACTACTTTGCTGATGTAATCTTTGATCCTTCACCTTAACCTAACGCTCGCATCAAATTTATGACAAATTTCTGTAGGCTCAATAATTCAGTGAGTGCTGGACTTTTACTCATGTTTTCAAATAAAGATTTAATTATAGTCTTCACTGAAGATAAGCCAAGTGTGATAATACCTGATCTACTTGGAATGTGGGACTGGGGAGGAAGTGTGAGTTGACCTCAGTTCTCCAGGTATTTAAACACTTTCAACGATAGCATTAAGGATTAAATTAATTATATTGGACCGAATGCTGGCATGTTGGTTAATTAGAGTTAGCGAATTTCTATTCTTGTTTATAATTTTTTTAACTGAGAGTTTTCTTCTTATTCTGATCATAAGACTCAGTTATAGACTTAAATCTTCAGGACTTCAAAGATCTTTAAAGATATACATCTTTGAAATTTGCGGAGACTTCTTTTGTGAACTAGTCTATGTCATTTTGTATAAATGCTTCATGTGTGAGTGGGAAGAATGTGATTCACTCATTATTGGTTGCAGAGTTCAATATATGTCTGAATCCAAGCTTATTTATTGTGCTTTTCAAATCTTCATAAATAAATAAGTAAATACATCTAAAAGCTTTTTTAAAAGTTTATGTGGGCTCTATCACCAAATTATGTCTTGAGTCCACTACTCTTCCTATGACCTTACTACAATCTATGCTAAGCCTCCATCATCTCTTGTCTGGATGACTGTGAGAGCCTGTTAACACAACTCATACCTTATAAACCATCCCCTACTCAGCTGCCCAAATGATGTCTCCATGATCATATCACTTGCTGGAAAATTCTCTAATGATTCTTATTGCAACTAGAATAAGTCCCAACTCTTTATGCAGCTCCTACAAGGCCTAGGTGACTTGGCCCCTCTCTAGGTCTCCGGTCCCATTTCCCTCTTCACATCCTCTCTTCACCAAGCCACAATGCTTCTCTCTGTCCCTAGACATGTCATGATCATTCCTATCTCAAAGGCTTTGAATTTTCTGTCCCTTCTGTTTACACAGGTCTTCCTAAGATATTTGGCATGGTTATCTCCTGCTCAGCCTTCAGATCTTAACTCAAAAATCACTTCCTTAAGAGGCCTTTCCTCAAGCAAAATAGCCTGCACAGTCAGTATCATCCTATATTATAGCACTTGGATCTTAAATTATATCATTTATTTACTGTTTTTACAGGTTCAGTGCCTATTTCTGTCTGCTAGAATGTAAGTTCCTTCAGTGCCTAGAATAGTGCCAGAAACATTGTAAGAGCCCAATCAATATTTGCCATCATTAGAAATCATGTTCCTAAATAATATTTAATTATAGAATGACATTCCCCCAATATGTGTTAAATGAAAAAAATTAAAAGTAAGATAGAAACCTATTCATTATGAGACAGATTTTATAAGAAAAAAATACATGCATTTAAAAAAAAGACAAGAAGAAACGTCATTTGCATCAGTTTCTCTAGATAATATTTATAATGTTTAAAATACTTGTGCTGTATTATTACTAAAGGATTTTTTCCAGTGATATATACATATAATTAAGTAAGATGTCTTTCACAAAGAAAATTATCCAAAGGGTGGATA